CGTACTGTATCTTTCCATATTCTTCTGGCTCATAGAGTCCCATCTCTTGTGTATCTTATGGGCTTCCCTTTGTATTTAAGTTCCATTTTGTAATCTTGCTGCTGTCTCTATCTTTGGATTTCGTCATTTTGCATATAATGTCTCTAGGAATTTTTCTAATTTGATCTATTTTCACCAGGACCCTTCGTGCCTCTTAGATCGTGGGCTTGAAACTGTTGTTTCTTCCTCACATTTGCCTTTATGTTCTTCAGGGACTCCAGTGATTCTTAAGTTATTCCTCTTGAACCCATGCCATAGCTCCTGATATGCCGTTCATTTCTTCTCAGGCTGTTTTCCACCTTCCGTCTCCTAGAAGTTTCTTCCTTCCCATTTTGGAGCTTCTTGATCTTTTGCTTAGCTTCTTTTGTTCTACTGTTTGGAGCTTCTTTTGACTTTCTTATACCACCAACCGTGTTCTTCATTTCTTTTTTTATATTAATTTTTTATTTCATTGAATCACCGTGAGATAGAGTATTACAAGACTGTTCATGATTAGGTTTCAGTCATACAATGTACCAACACCCATCCCTCCACCAGTGTAATTTCCCAGCACCAGTGTCCCCAGTTTCACTCCCATTCCCCCAAACCACTCCCCACCCCAGCCTGCCCCTCTCTTCTCTCTCTCTCTTTCTCCTCTCTCTCAATTTAGGCATTATGGTTTTCAATACAGATGTTGTAAGATTTTCATGTATATCCCTTTTCCTACTTTGAACACTCAGTTCTTGTCCAGAATGATCATTTCCAACGTTGATATAAAATTGTCATAATGGACCCTCTTCTATCTTAACTAACCCCCAAGCCCTCACACACCAATGACCAATCCTTCTGGCCTGTTTTCCCTGACCTTGAATATTAGTTTCAAGGACAGTGACTTTTTTTTAATATCCCACAAATGGATGCAGTCATTCTGTATCTGTCCGCTCTCCTGCCTCATTTCACTCAGCATGATACTCTCCAAGTGCATCCATTTATGGGCATATTTCATGGACCTCACTTTTCCTAATAGCGTGTAGTATTCCATCGTGTAGATGTCTCATAGTTTCTTTATCCAGTCGTCCGTTCTTGGGCACCCAGGTTGTTTCCGGTTTCTGGCTATTGTAAATAGTGCTGCAATGAGCATGGGCATACAGATGGTGTCTCTGCTGTGTGTTTTTGGCCCCCCTCAGGGTACATTCCCAGAAATGGTATTGCTGTGTCAAAGGGAACTCAATTTCTACTTTTATTTGAAGAATGTTCATATTGTTTTCCAAAAAGGCTGAACCAATTGGCATTCCCATCAGCAATGAGCAAGGGTCCCTTTTTCCCCACATTTGTGCCAACACTGGTTGTTCTTGTTCATTTGGATGTGTGCCAGTTTCTGTGTTGTGGGATGCTATCTCATTGTTATATTGATTTGCATCTCCCTAATGGTTAGTGGTGTAGCGCATTTATTCATGTGTCTTTTGGCCACTCAAATTTCTTCTTTGAGGAAGTTCATGTTTTCCCCATTTTTGGTGGGGTTGGATGTTTTTTCTTATAAAGTTCTACCAGTGTCTTTGATATTAACCCCTTGTCAGGAGGGGATTGGGTAAATAGTTAGCAATAGCACAGCGGTAGGGCGTTTGCCTTGCGCGCAGCCAGCCCTGCCCAGCCGGATTTGATTCCTCCGCCCCTCTCAGAGAGCCTGGCAAGTTACTGAGAGTATCTCGCCTGCACGGCAAAGCCTGGCAAGCTACCCGTGGCGTATTCAGTATGCCAAACACAGTAACAAGAAGTCTCAAAATGGAGACGTTACTGGGCCCGCTCGAGCAAATCGATGAACAACAGGAGGACAGTGACAGTGTTCCATTCCATGGGCCGTCTTTGTATCTTGGCCACTGTTTCTTTTGAGATGCAGAAGTTTCATAGTTCCACTTGTTAATCTTTGCTTCTACTTGCTTGTTCAGTGGTGTTTCACCTTTGAAGATGCTTTAGCTTCAGTGTCATGAAAGGTTTTGCCTAATTTTCTTCCATGTACCTTATGGATTCAGGTCTGATGTTGAGGTCTTTAATCCAGTTTGATCTGACTTTTGTGCATGGCATTAGAAAGAGGTCAGAATTCATTTTTTTCATCTGTAGCTGTCCAGTTTTCCCAGCATCACTTGTTAAAAAGGTTTTCCTTGCTCTACTTCATATGCCCTCCATATCAAACATTAAATGGAGGGTGTGTGTCAGGATGTTCAATCTTATTCTATTGGTCTGCAGGTCTCTCTATTCCAGTACCATGCTGTTTTAATTACTACAGTTTGAAGTTGGGGAAAATGGTGCCTCCCATCATTTTCCCAAGAATTGCTTTAGCTGTTCATGGGTATTGTTGGGGGTTTATTGTTCCATATGAATTTCAGGAATGTCTGATCAGTTTCTTTGAAAAATATCATGGGTATCCGTATCCGGACCATATTGAATCTGTATAATGCTTTGGGGAGTATTGCCATTCTGACAGTGTTAATTCTCCCAGTTCACGAGCAGAGGATGTGTTTCCATTTCTTTGTGTCATCTTTTATTTTTTGAAGTAGCATTTTTTTGGGTCACACCTAGCAATGCTCAGGGGTCACTCCTGGCTCTGCACTCAGGAATTACTCCTGGCGGTGCTTGGGTGACCATATGGGATGCCGGGGATCGAACCCACGTCAGCCACATGCAAGGCAAACGCCCTACCTGCTGTGCTATCACTCCAGCCCCATGAAGTAGCATTTTTTTAGTTTTCTTCGTACAGGTCCTTTACCTCCGTAGTTAAGGTGATTTCAGTGTACTTGATTTTCTGAGGCATAATTGTAAACTTTTTTTTTCACTTCTCTTTCATTATTTGTATACAGGAAAACCATGGACTTTTGGGTATTGATTTTGTAACCTGCCACTCTACTATACAAATCTATTGTTTCTTGGAGCTTTTTGGTAGAGACTTTGGGGTTCTCTAAGTATAGTATCATGGAGAGTGATATTGCAAATAGTGAGAGTTTGACTTCTTCCTTTCCTATCTGGTTACCCTGAATACCTTTTTATTCCCTAACTGTTAATGATGAGTTGTCCAGTACTATATTGATTAGGAGTGGTGAGAGTGGGCAACCTTGCCTTAGAGGAAAGGCTTTTAGTTTCCTTCCCCCCCAACCCCCCCTTGAGAATAATGCTTGCTGTGGACTTGTGGTAGATAGCTTCCACTATAATTGAAGAAAGTTCTTTCATCTCCCATTTTGTTGAGAGTTTCATGTTCTTCATTCCTGGCTATAGTATTTGTGTTCACTTTCTTGTGCCTGTGCTATCATTTCTTTGAATTCATTGAACACCTTCATCGTAGTGTCACTAAAGACACCATCTGAGTATTTACTGCTGTTGTCTATGTCTTTGGTTCTAATGTTCTCACCCATTGAGCTCTGTGGGCTTCTACGTGTTTTCCTCATTGGTTTTCTAGTGTTCTTGCTGTGTTGGACGGGGGGCTGAGTCTTTGTAGTTAACCCCCGTGGAAGATGCTGAAGGATTAAGCTATAGGTTGCTCTCTTTCTTCTCTGGGATGGTAGAAACATCAAGCAGAAGGTCATGCAGCCCTGGGTTTTATTTCCAGTAAAATAAAAAGAGACCAGCTGATTAAAGAAAAAAAGGTTTATTCAGGGGCTGCCTGAGGTGATCAACTCATGTCCCCAAAACCCATCTTAGGGAACCAGAGCAATACTACAGTCAGGACGGGCACTTGGTCGACCCAGGTTTGATCCCCAACAACTCAGATAATTCCCTGAGCCCTGTCAGGAGTGATCCCTGAGCACCAAGGCAGGAGAAAATGCTGAGCACAGCTGGAGATGGCCAAAGAAATCCATATTGATTGTGTGGTCAGAAGAAACAGCTTTCAGGGGGCTGGAGCAGTAGCACAGCGGATAGGGCATTTGCCTTGCACGCGGCCAACCCGGGTTCGATTCCCAGCATCCAATATGGTCCCTTGAGCACTTCCAGGAGTAATTCCTGAGTGCAGAGCAAGGAATAACCCCTGAGCATCACCGGGTGTGACCCTAAAAGCCCAAAACAATATAAAACAAAAAGAACAGTAGAAACAGCTTTCTAAGAAAAGGAGAAAAGGAAAGCATGGTCCATGAAAGTTGGGACATAGACTGGTGGGCACCAAGGGGTCTGAATTCTCTTGAGGGTTGATCCCCTGAGATACACTGTAACTGAGATACAGTGTAACAGCAAAAGAAGATTTCTGGTTAAGGCTTCCTCCACTTGTCCTTTAGGACAAGATATGTGAAATATTCACAGCATTTTTAACCACTCCTGATCAGACAGGTTTTCTGATTTTTTTATATTGAATTCAAGAATTCAGTAGCCATATTAGTTATAAGCCCTGGTAAGAAAGAGATTTCCAGTGAATTCTAATTAGATTTTATTAGCAAATTTTATTCTTTGGGAGAGGAGGCAGATACTCCTGGTGGTGTCCAGACCAGGGCTCCCATCGACTGCAGCCCTTTGAGCCTTGCAAATGCATCATCAGTGTTTCTTCCCTTTTTTCCCTTTTACACTGCTGGGAATGGAACTCAGGGTTTCACACATGCAAAGCATGTGCCCTGTCACCAAGCTATATCCCCAGCAAAGTAATACTTGTTCTTATAGGAAATTCAGTAAATGATTATTTTAAATACGCCTGCCTATCCTTTCTGCCTGTCACTGGGTTCTTTTGATACACAAGCTGGGAGGGTTGACTCACTCTAGGCAGTTCCCTGTGCCCTGGAACATATGCAATAAGGATTTTATCTTGGGGTTGGCCACCCAGGCGCCATGCCAGGAAGGAAGAGGACCGGGCGGCATGCTTGGGGGTTGGGTGTGGTGAGACCCGGGGCTGGCGTGCGGCTGAGCTCGACTGATCAGCCACCTGACGTGCGTATGTGTGTGTGCGTTCTCTCTTCCAGCCTCGACACCCGTGCTACAAGCAAGTCAGAGTCCCACCAGCGGCCCGCATGATGGACTCTCAGGTCAGACCCCGGGGAGGGCGAGGCCAGGCAGCCCTGTGGGTGCCCATAGTGTGGACCTGGCCTGACCGAAGTGCTGCTGAGAGGAGCTGCACATTCATAGTCAAGAGGAAAACAGTCCCCAACTTCCACCCCTTCCCGCTGCACCTGGTGCCTGCTTGCTAACGGGAAGGGCAAAGGACGCTTTCAAATTTAAGATGGTTTAATAGCTCTAGTTTTGGGGCTGGAGCAATAGCACAGCCGGTAGGGCGTTTGCCTTGCATGCGGCCGACCCGGGTTCGATTCCCAGCATCCCACAGGGTCCCCTGAGCACCGCCAGGAGTAATTCCTGAGTGCATGAACCAGGAGGAACCCCTTTGCATCATTGGGTGTGACCCAAAAAGAAAAAAAAAAGAAAGAAAGAAAAAGAAATAGCTCTAGTTTCCTTAGGCAGGGACATCCCAAGGTCATCTAGCCCAGTCCTCTATCTTCAGCAGGATAATACCTAGGTGGTGTTACCTTGTTTGCTTCTGTTGGGGAGAGGAAGTGAAGGCCCATGCAGTGGGAGCCACTTCTTTCCAGTGTTCCCAAGCTCGCTGTCTCCCCTTTGGCTAAATTACCTCATGTCTTCCCTGCACCCAGTCCCAGGGACCTCTCTGCGCCCTCTCCAAACATAACAGTGTCTGGTTCTCCTCATCCGTGGCGGGAGGCATTTCTGGTTTGGCTTTAGAAACTTCCATGGGCCGTTGCTGCCACACTCAGTGCTCCCAGCAGTGCCTAGAGGTGCCTCTCGTGCTTTCATGTCAGTCTCCTTCTCAGCCGACTGTGCATTCACCGTGAATTCTTCAGATCCATGCACCCGCTGCTTGGAAATGGGAGGTCTAACACTTTGCAGGCAGCAAAGAAAAGTCGCTTGCTTGAGCAGAGGTGACTTGGGACTCCCTTTGGACTGTCCTCAGTGTTCAAAACACTTTCTTGCTCGGTACTGCTGTTGCCTGCCCTATATTGTCTTTCCGCTTATAGCTGCTGCTTCCTCTTCATATTTCCAGGATACCTGTGAATTAAAAACAAAAAGAAAAGATGTGGATGTAGATGTTTTTTATGTATGGGGCCCTGGGTTCCATCCTCATCAATCCCGCAAAACACCCATACACGCAGGTATATGTGTGTACACACACACACACACACACACACACACACACACCCCCTGCATGTGGTCCCTATGCCTCCCTGGGCGGGGATCTAGCTCAGATGACCCGAGTGCACGCTTCACCTGTGGAAGCCTGAGGATCCATCCGCAAACTACCATATGTGACCACCCCTCAATAGAATTGCCTCACCCCACATTGTTTCATGTTTTTTTTTCCTGACACCCCTTCATTGTGTGGAGGTGGATACAATTCCTCCTAGTGTTTTCTTTTTCTTCAATGAGAAAATAGATCCAGAAATTTCCTAGTGTTCCAAGAAGCCGGAAACTTTCTCCATCAGAATCATCCTGGTGTGTTTATTTGTATGCTGGGCCTGTGCTCCACTGCTCAGCCACAGCCCTCACTGAGTTTTCTGGATTTTTTTCCCTTGGATCTGTTTCCAGCTTTCAAAAGAGCTGTGATAACATGTACCAGTTTAGCCTTGCTTGGAAAGTCACCCCTTCAGAGTCCACGAAGACACGAGCCACACGTGTCTGCTTTTGTCAGGCACTTTCACTTCTTGCTCTGTGAGCTTTGGTTTTCCTGTAGCTATTTTTGTGGTACTGTTCATATCGGAGTCCTATGAATGTTTTTTTTTTTTTGGTGGGGACTCCTCAGGCGCCCGGGGTCACTCAGCTCAGCTGCTCGGGCGGGCTGGTTGGGTGCTGGGATGGCCGCGTGTACATGGCCACACGCTACAGCTTTTGAGCTGCCTCCCTAGAGCCTGCGTTTGTTTGTTGGACATGCTTAACCTGAATTTGGTCCCCAGCACCACAGACAGTTCCCCAAGTCCTTGAAAGCAGAGCCAGGAGTAAGCAGCTCTGAGTACCACCCGGTGTTACCCCAAAACAAAAGCAAAAACATTAAAAAGTGAAATTGCCTTTGAGGTTTTTTTTTTTTTTTTTTTTGCTTTTTGGATCACACCTGGCGATGCACAGGGGTTACTCCTGGCTCTGCACTCAGGACTCACTCCTGGCGGTGCTCAGGGGACCATATGGGATGCTGGGAATCGAACCTGGGTCGGCCGCGTGCAAGGTAAACTCCCTACCCGCTGTGCTATTTCTCCGGCCCCCTGGTTTTGTTTTTCTTACTGTCTGGTCCTGGTTTTACCAGGTTTGGACACGCGGGCTAGTCTGTTTGTTCGGTTGCATTGGAGAGCTTTCTGGCCTTTCTCTGTTGGGACTAATGTTGCAGTGGACAGCTACCTTTGCTTCTTTCAGGTTTCATTCCCTGTTCACCAAGATTGCTGAAGTTTGTGTAATTTCTTGTTAGGTATTGTCCTGTACTCTAAAAAGGATAAACAGCTGTCAAATGAAATCATCCATCTTCTATCCATTTCAACATTTTTTTGTTTTGTTTTGGGTCCATACCCAGCAGTGCCCAGGGCTTGCTCCTGGCTCTGTGCTCAGAATCAGGGATCATTCCTGGCAGGGCTCAGAAGACCATTTGTGGTGTTGGGGATCAAACCCATGTTGAACACCTGCAAGGCAAGCGCCCTAGTGCTATACTGTTTCTCTGCCCCATCCAGTTTAACTTTATGCACTGGAAATTTAAAAAAAAAAAGTTATAGTTCCATTCTTAGCTGCTCACAGGCCTTTGTAATGTGTGTGTATGTGTGTGTTGTTTATTTTTGGTTCACAATCTGTGATGCAGCTCACTCCTGGCTCAGTGCTCTGGGATCAGTCCTGACAGGGTCGGGGGACCATGCGTTGGTGCTGGGAATCAAATGCTCATCAACCACATGCAAGGCAAGTGCCCTACCCGAGTACTGCCATCACTCTGACCCTCTGTTCTCGAGAGTAAAACTCGCACGGCTTGGGGCTGGAGCAATAGCACAGCGGGTAGGGCATTTGCCTTGCACGCGGCAGACCCAGGTTCAATTCCCAGCATCCCATATGGCCCCCCGAGCACTGCCAGGAGAGATTTCTGAATGCATGAACCAGGAGTAACTCCTGTGCATCACTGGGTGTGACCCCAAAAAGCAAAAAAATAAAATAAAACTCGCACAGCTTCCCATTTGCAGTCCCTGTCGGAGCAGGACTCCAGGCTGCCTGTGTCCACCTGAGCTGCCCACTCCAGCCACTGTGAGGATCTTTGCTCTCTCCCTCACTGCCGGTCCTCTGTCTTTAGTGGCTGTGTGAGAGACAGACCCTGACACTGATATTCTGTAACTGCTGCTCTGCCCACACTCGGGATGCCAGATCACCAGCCTTTCATCAGAAGAGCAGTGATGCCCGGCATTTGCGTCCCGGTGCTGCTGTAACAAAACATCACCAACTGGATGACTTAAATAGCCACAGTTTCTTCCTCACAGTTCTGGAGGCCAGAAATGTCATATGTGGGGCTGGAGCGATAGCACGGCAGGAGGGCATTTGCCTTGCACGCGGCCGACCCAGGTTCAATTCCTTGCATCCCATATGGTCCCCTGAGCACAGCCAGGAGTAATTCCTGAGTGCAGAGCCAGGAGGAACCCCTGTGCATTGCTGGATGTGACCCCCCCCCAAAAAAAACTGTCATATCTGGGTTGGCTTCTCCCAGGGGCTCTGAGGGAATCTGTCTGTGCCCCTCTCAGCTGCTGATGTTTCTTGGCTTAGAAGCACACCAGTAGTCAGCTCCTGCCTAAGTGTGTATGTTGATTCTGTAAGTAAATCTCCCTCGCCTTCCTCTTATCAGGATATCAGCCCAGCAGGTCGGGCTCTTGCCTGGCACACAGCCAACCTGCATCTGATCCCCAGCCGAAAATATGGTCTCCTGAGCCCTGCCAGGAATGATTCCTGAGCACAGAGCAAGAATTGAAACATAAGCACTGCCCTTCCCCCCCAAAAAATTGAAGTTTTGCTCTGTTTATATTGGGGGCCACATCTGGCAGTGCTTGGGGTGCTGTGTGGTGCCAGGATTGAATGCCGGACTCCTGCATGCAAAACGTGCAAAGTTTCTTGTCCCAAAGGGAAGCTTGGCTGTGGCTAGATCCAGAGAGTCAGGCCTACCAGCCTTTTTTAAAAAATTTTTATTAGTGAAACACCATAAGGTACAGTTGTAGACTTACACATTTTTGTGCTTGGGTTTCAGTTGGGCTGGAGCGATAGCACAGCGGGTAGGGCATTTGCCTTGCAAGCGGCCAACATGGCCAACCCAAGTTCAATTCCACCACCCCTCTCGGAGAGCCCGGCAAGCTACCGAGAGTATCTCGCAAGCTACCAGTGATGTATTCGATATGCCAAACGCAGTAACAATTGTCACAATGAAGACATTACTGGGCCCGCTCGAGCAAATCGATGAACAACGGGAGGATAGTGACAGTGACAGGGTTTCAGTTATACAATGATCGAGTACCCATCCCTCCACCAGTGCCCACCCTTCACCACCAATGATCCCAGCATCCCTCCCACCCCCTATCCCCCCCATCCCCCCTGCCTCTGTGGCTGGGCATTCCCCTTTATTCTCTCTCTCCTTTGGGTGCTGTGAGGCCTACCAGCTCTTGTGGGTGAGAGCAGGAATCCAAGTAGGCACTGCTGACGCCTGGGCAGTCGGGAGGGGCTCTCTGGCTCCAGTGCTGTGCCAGACCCGCCCGTCTCTCACCTGCTTTTGTTGTAGATCAACAACCGTTCTGGCCTCCACGATGAGCACATCACCAACTTGCTCTTGTTCGGTTTCCTCCAAAACTGCTCCAACCTTAATTTCCGTGAAGAGCTGGAGGAGCTGCAGTTCCAGCTGCCGGGGCCTGCTCCCTCCACGTGTCGGCTGCAGCGGCAGGGCCTGCGGGTACAGCTGCAGGGCCCAGAGCTGCAGACCGACGGCAACCACTGCAGTCAGCTGCTCGTGGACGGAGAGACAGGTAGACTGGGGGGCCCGCTGAGCGTGCAGATGCCACTCCAGTCGCTGCACTCTGTGACTCTGTCTGTGCCTTGTCCCATTTTCTCGTCATTTTCTGGCCTGAGTGCACCGTTTCTCTGTGTGAGTCCTGTTAGTACTTTCATTTCCCGAGACCGCCCACAGCACTGGGGCCTTGGAGTGTTCAGAGGCGTTATGGGGGTTCTTGGCCAGAGGCAGGAGGTCACAGCGAGCAGAGGGCGGTGTCAGGCGGCTCCACTGTCATCTTCACGCACTGTGATGACCCCCGGCCCTTGCGTTTGACTCCTTGCTGCCCTCACAGCGACTCTCTGGCCTGACTGAGGCTGAGAGCCAGAAATGGGGACTGTTGAGTCTCACCCAGATTGCCCAGAATCATGATTCATAGTAAAGTATACTGGGTGTTCTGCGAGGAAATTTTTCACAGTGTACAGGTCTGGTTAGAATCACTGCCCTCGAAGCCCAGAATGACTCAATTTAACCTAGTCATCAAGACCCATGAGGTCATGCTGCCCTCTGGTGGCCCTGGGGAGACCAACAGCAAAGTCAACCACTGTGGGGCTTCTCCAGAGGAAGACAGGCTCTCCCCAAACGAGTAATGGAAATTCTCGCCATCATTTAATGGGCCAAAGCTGGGGCCACTCGAGCATTGAGCACTGTGAAGTAAGAAGAAGAAATGCACACCCTTACTCTCCAGGATGGAGTGTGCCAGGTCAGCCTTTGCACCTCCAGCTGTGGCCTAAGTTGTCTAGGGGGACTGACAGGAGGTTCCCACTTGCTAAGAGGTTTCAGAGACTTTTTCTTTGAGCATGTTGTGAGCATGTTGTCTGCCCAACCCTAATGTGGAATCGGGCACCTGGCGCTGTTCTGAAGCCCCAGGAGAGCAGGGACAGGAGCTTGAGGGACTGTCCGAATCTGTGCCCTGGGCTACTCGCTGTTCCACACCATCCTGACCCCGTCCTCAGCCCAGCTCCTGAACAGCCTCTGTTCCCAGACCTACTCCAGAAGCCTGCATAGAAGGGACAGCCGTGTGGGCTCAGCAGGGACCGCTGTGGTCTGCCACAGAAGTGAGAGTTGGCTTTGTTTCGAAATAGAATCTTGGCCTTTTACTGGGAGGTTTGTGGGTTGAGGACGCCGAGCAGGGCCAGGGTCTCGATCTGCTTTTCTCTCTGCTGCTTCGTTTGATCATTCAGATTCTGAAAGCCAGGAAGAAATCATCCAGGACATTGCCAGGCAGCTTGCCCACATTGGGGACAGCATGGACCGCAAAATCCACCCGGCACTGGTGCAGGACCTGGCAGCACGGTTTATGAATGGGAACCTGTCCGAGGAAGTAAGTTCGAAACCCCCCACGTACCTGTGCAGGGTCACTTGGGAAGTGTGAGGGTTGTTCAGTTGTTAGCTGAACTAGTAAAATTTCTTCCCTGTCAGACCTGTGGCCAGTGAGGTGACTTAGATCAGAGCTGTCTGCAGAGAATGGGAAGTTGATCTGTAGTATGGGTCATTCTGAAGAACACCTAGGAAACTTGAATCTTAAAGCCAGAATCAAGAGTTTGGGGATTAAAGCTTCAAAAAGGATAAGAAATTGAATCTTCCAGGGTTCTTCCACCTTTAAGACACGCCTTGTTCTAGTGATCTCTCCCCATCTGCTGTTCCCCAGCTTCCAGGCATGGCCGCACACCTCTCCTGCAGTGTAGACAGTGTTGTTTGTGAATCAGTCAGCTGCAAGGTCCTTTTCTGTCCTATTGAGAGAGGGAGTCACTTATCTCCTTTATCTAAGTCTGCACCATTAAGGTAGCTCTGATGCATCCTGACTTTTCAACTGGTTTTTGATTTTCAGTGCTTTAGAGGCAAGGATCGACTAGCTTCTGTTCATTCTAGTCTCGTTACAAACACTGGAAGTTTGAAAGCAACATGCTCACCGGCTGCGTGTGGCTACCGAGCCCCAACAGGGCCAGGGTCTCATCTGCCTGCTCCTCACTGTGTTGCCACTTAATTGTCATTGTTTTCCAACTTCTCCTTAAGTGTTTTTGTTGGTTGCTTTGTAAGTTTTCTTTCAGTTTTAGGGTCACACCTGATGGTGCTCAGAGACTCCTCCCAGCTTGGGGGATGCTCCAGGGGGTGCTTGCGAGATCGAACCTGGACCTCCAGCATGCAGACTACACACTCCAAACTTTAGAATCATCTCTTTAGCTATTTAATGAACCTTGCATCTAAAGGAGATCCTGCTACTTTACACTTACCATTAGAGAGCTTCTCCTGTAAGAGGAAAGAGTGTTGGTGACTGGGCTCTGTGTCCCTACAGGAGAGAGGGAAGTGCCTGGGAGATGCGCTGAGACAGATCCTGCAGACTTACCCTAAAGACATGGAGCAGGAGAAGATCATGCTGACGATGACCATGCTGCTGGCCAAAAGGGTGGCCGATCACACACCCTCTTTGCTGCGGGATGTCTTCCACACAACAGCGAACTTTATCAACCAGAACCTGCTTTCCTGTGTGAGGACCTTAGTCAGAAATGTAAGAGATGGTCAACCCCTGGCCCCGTCACGGAATCCTCTGGGCCTCTGCCCATGCCCATTTTCCTCCGAGGGTTGGCAGTGCCATGGAGCTCTCTGCACGGCACCTTCCCCTGCTTCTGAGAACCAAACCATATTGAAGGTTGTTACAGAGCAGAATCCTTGCTCAAGTTTGACTTGAGTAAAACCTAAGTAAACCTCAACTTGGTTTTACTTGTCGCCAGAAAATTCTGCGGAAGGTATCCTCTCGAACTTGGATCAGTTTTACTTTTTAAGACTTGTACTGTTAGAGGGGCAGTGAAACATATCTAATACTATTGATAGATTCATAATAGTATGCTGGAGATGTGTTCCTGTATTGTGTGGGTATGTGACAGTGGCAGCATAATGTGGACATGTAGCAGCAGGGAGGGAATATGAGGGGGTGTGATGTGGACCCCAAGTAGTAGGAGGAGGGACCCACGCTGAGTCTCCTTAGTCTGTCTCAGCTTCAATGTCAGAAAAAAAGTGTAGCCAAAATTTCTTTTAAAATGTGCTTGTCGGGGGCTGGAGCAGTAGCATAGCGGGTAGGGTGTTTGCCTTGCACGCAGCCAACCCGGGTTCGATACCCAGCATCCCATATGGTCCCTTGAGCACTGCCAGGGGTAATTCCTGAGTGCAGAACCAGGAGTAACCCCTGTGCATCGCCAGCTGTGACCCAAAAAGCAAAAAAAAAATTTTTTTTAAATGTGCTTGTCAAAGATGATGTGGAGAGAGCCCAAAAAGAAAAGAATGAACAAAAATCTACCTCTTTCCCAGATAACCTCTTTGCCTAAAACCAGGATGCTCAGTATTATGCACTTCATAATGCTGCCCAAGGCCTCAGGATAATTCGTTAGACCCAATGGTGAGTTCAGTGAATATCTCAATCTGTAGACTTGAAAGTGTGAGCAATATCTGAGATCATTTTGTCAGGCAGTTGTCTTAATATTTATTGCTGTGCCTTAAAAGCATTCTCTATGTACTGTGGTCTTCAGTTGTGTAAACATTTGAAGTGTTTAAAATTGAAGGGCGTGTCTGAGCCACACAGGCGGTGCTCAAGGGCTATTCCCAGCATGATGCTGGCACCAGGGGGTCATATTGGGCCTCCTGCGTGCAAAATATGTGTTCGGCACTTTAAGCCATTTCCCATCCCCACAAAAAACATTTTTTAAGTCTTTATTTTGAGTGGTGCCCAAAGCTTACTCCTGGCTCTGTACTCAGGGCTCAGTCTGGTAGGGCTGAGGGACTGTAAGTGATTCCAGGGATCAAATCCCAGTTGGCTGTGTGCAAGGGAAGTTCACTACGTGCTGTAACTATCACTCCGGCCCCTATAAACATTTTTAAACAGGAGAATGAATATAAATGTCAAATTGGTGTTAAACTAAGCTTGGAAGGGCATAATTGTTGGAAGGACAATTGAGAAAGTACCTATAGAGCTTTTACCTGCAACCTCAGATTAAGGATTGCTACCTGTTCCTGGCACCTCAGTCCCACGAAGATGCCCTTGGTGCTATAAGTGATTTGCTAGGTGTTACTAAATGAGCACCTTAAAATCCCATTTTGGCTGTTGCACACATTCGGTGAAAAATAGGGTGTGAGATGGGAAAGGGGGGTCCTAAGACTGTTTCTGTGTTTTACACTTTGTTTCTGTGACTTTGCCATCAGACCTCTCAGTACTGTGCTGGTTTATGAAACAGGCTGGCTAAATCTGCTTGTCTTCCTTTCTCACTGTAGGACACAGATTGAACAGATGACTCTGGAAGAGCATGACTGGCTAACACTTGGCATGGTGACAGAAGAGAGCTGCCTGAAGTGGCGATGGGAGCCACAGTAACCAAACAGTTCTTAGGATCGGCATGAGAAAATGTGTTTCGTTTTCAGGACAATATTTTCAACTTGTGACTGATTCAGAGATCTCTACATTAATATACTTGAATGAAAATGTCAGTGTGCATATTTTTGAATGCATTTCCTACCCCCTAAATCCATCTACATATCATGCCCTTAATTCAACTGTATGAATTCCTACTTGAATAATATGGAGCAGGGGTACTTGGATGCCACGCGACATGGTGCTCAGGGGTCCATGATGCCAAGGATCAAATCCAAGACTCCTGCATGCAAAGCATGCACGCCAGCCTCTTGAGCATTCTCCCAGCCTTGAAGATTAAATGTAAAAGCAGACTTTTGGGCAAAAGGAAAAACAAAAAACCTTTAGTGCAACTTTGGTCTTTATGGCAGTAATGATACCATGTTCGAGAAGAACAGGATAAAAGAAGAAATGTACAGGTTCAGTCTTCCTCCACTGACACTGAGGAGCTGAGTGTGGTCTGTCTAACAGATGGATGGGGTCTAGAGTGATAGCACAGCGGGCAGGGCACTGGCCTTCCAGGTGACTCACCAGAGTTCGGTCCCCAGCACCCCATGTTGTCCCGAGCCTCACCAATAATGACTCTGAGTGCAAAGCCAGAAGTAAACCCTAGTCATCGGTTGGGGGAGCCCCCCAAACCAAAAACACTGAAAAATAAAAACCAGGTGGCTCAAGAAGTTCTGGACCAAAGTTCTGTACTCAAACAATGGGACTGTCAGGCCTCAAACTGGTTTGACTTTTTTCACTTTATTTCTTATCCATTTCTTGATTTCCTTTTGAGTCAGAAATAACAGGAAGGAGCCTGTGTTAACACACTTTTCAAAATCAGGTACTTAAACACCTTTTCGCAAGAAATCCAAGCTTTGATTAAAAAAAAAAAACCTAAGCTAATCTAGCATTCTAAAAAGACTTCATTGAATCAAAGAATAGGGCCAGAGATTAAAGAGGAGATAAAGTATAAACCATTGCTCCACATATAAACATCCTCTACTCCCCCACCCCCCCAAAAAATGAGTGATTCTTAAGTGAAGCCAAGAGTAAACGCTGAGCACAGCTAAACCCCAAACCTTGACCGTTGCTCAAAAATCTCACATTTTTCCCGTCTTAAGTCCTAGGCAAAGTATGTGCTATACCTGACGGTATTTTGGAGACCATCAGCACTCACTCCCCAACCTGAAGTTGGTAGATTTTACAATCTCCATGCACTGAGAAATGAATAAAGAATGTCTTTCCTCATAACTGCTAAGTATTTGTGACTGGAAGGCCATGTTGTGGCAGAGAGCATTCTTCCTACGTGAGGCTTTGGTTCACCATCAGCACCTCCTAGTCCAAAACAGGATGCTAGGTGTGTCTAACAGTCGAGTGGTGTATTCGGTATGTTCTGAAACCAGCTTGAGCCCAATCTTGCCTCTCTAGGGCCTCGCCGTCAGCTGCTGGTTTTCAGGACTCCTGCATGGTTTGTAGCACCAGAGCCTGCTCTTATTTTCCAACTACTTCATGTGCTGTGCTGACTGAGAGCTTGAATATGGAGCGTCCTCTGGATGAAAAAACATGTTTTCAGAGCGTGAGGTCAAGGTCAAGCCCAATAAACATGTACATACAAACACTTCAACATTATCTAACGCAATCCTACGTGAAGTACGGGCATATGGCTACCATGAGGTAGAAAGACGAGCCAGCCAAGTATCTTCAAGATCTCATTTTATTTCAATCTCCAGTTTCTTACCCCCAACATATTCTTCTAACTGAAAACACAATCCATAGAATAAAACTTTGTTCCTTTCAGTGACAAGTCAGTTGGCTAAAAGGCAAGTAACAGGAGGGGGCAAGAAAAGAGGGCACGGAATAAAAGAAGGGAAGAGTAATAAAGGGAGAGAATCTGGGCTGTATCAAGAAGAGCCACTGGGGTTTCTTTTTTTTTTTTTTAAGGTAAATGAGATACTTAAGAGAAATGTTTATGTTGACTTAATTGTAAGCATGTTTAATTCCAGTCATTTTGAGGCATCAGAACCAATCATAAATTGAAACTCAGACAAGGGATAAATAAGCAAGAGGCACTTTTAATCGGAAGAGGAAAGTGGAAGACTCTGATAACATAAGTTCTAAGGAAAAAACGAACTCTATCTTTTCCTTTGGTCCTGGCCAAAGTCTGAGCTATACGTTGCTATTCCCTTGCTAGGAATCATCAGGAGCAACCGTTATCCAGCCTCTGATGGGGAAGCTTACACTTCGGGGTCTTTCTTTTATTCCTAGGGAAGAGAGCAACTGGTACTTCCAGAATGTCAAAACTTTTCTAAACAGCACACTAATGAACCAGTGACTTCTAGTGGTGCAAAGAACACTCACAGAAGTGAGCGATATCAAATTCCCCTTAGGAGAGAGGGCAGGAATCCGTCGCGCCAGCTGCTGCTTATACAAGGCCTTGCAAGTATCCCTGAGAACAACTCCAACCTGAGCTTCGACCAAGCTGCTGCCTGGCAAGGGCTCTTGAAGTGTAAACATAAATGGGAGGATCCCTGTGGTTTCAACGCATGACATTTCAGGGAGAGGTGGAAGGAAAGGGAAGGGATTTATTAGTATTTTAGTAGAAACAATTAGATTTTCGGTGAAGCAATGAAAACGAGGTAAGCAAGAACAGTTGACTGACTCTCAGAAGTAGTGTGTGGTCAAGACTTAGTTTGACGTTCTCCAGTGAACAGTGGAGTGGAGCGGATAGTTTTTCACTGGGAAATCACCTGCAGAATTTTGAGCAAGCTTTGCCAGTGGCTCACTCCTGCTCAATACTACTTGAGACTGTGACTTCTGAGTGTTGAGAGGCAAGGACGGACGAAAAGGAAAAGGGAAAATTCATTGATTATTCCTTCGTTAGACTGCCTTCCCCTTACTTACAAGAGAAGTATGTATCTAAACAAGAAAGCAAATGTGTGATCTACACCACCATTACTAATTCAATATAAGGCATTTCATTCGGTATTTCAAGGGAAAACACCCCGAACCCTATCAACAGTTTTGTTAACCGCAGTGCCTAAATTTTTTTTTGAAAAGGGAAAACATCCCCGTCCATATAATTAGAAGTGAGGAAAAATCGTTCTAAGTTCATGCTCAATATTCAGACTCTTCTGTAGGTAGGAAGCAGAGAAAGGCTCCTCTCCTTTCAGGACACTTGGTTTAGAGAGCACTTGTTGCCCTGTGCAGTGTTCAGCTGGCACAACCATTTGCAGACAGGCTATTAATACTGCTTTGCAGGGTCACAAAAGAGGTAAGAACTGGAACATGCACTACAATTGCATTCGGTTTGGAAGCCAGAAAAATTTAAACCATTGCCTTGCATCTCGTAAACGAGGAGACTTTAAAAAGATGTCCTCAATCTGTAAAAAGGGGATAATTACCCAGTAGAACTGTGAAAGGGAAACAGCTAGAGAAGTGCTCATACATATGCTAAAAATTAGTTATCTTTTTTTTTAAGGAAAAAGATTCTTGTGTGGAAAAACTACACCCTTGTCACAGTCTGAGCAACTCAGTGGAAATAGGAAACATTTTACAGTTTTAAACTTGTCACAGCTGGAAACAGAAAACATTTCCAATAGGAAACATCTGGCATCAAGTGTGTTACTAAGTAAAATAACGCCTGTGAGGGAATATTCTCAGAGGCCAATTGTTCTTGCTATAAATGATCAGAAAGTCCTCTCGATGAACTAGTCCTCATGATTATGTCACTTCAAAATCATTTTTTAGGTCTTTGGGCCACACACAATGTGGCTCAAGGGCTACTCCTGGTTGTGCTCAGGAGTGACCCCTGGTGGTACCATTCGGCAACTGAACTAGGCTCAGCCACATGCAAGACTAACCTAGATCTCTGGCCCTTGCTACTTCAAATTTTTAGAAAGCAAAATTTGTGCACAAAAAAAATAAATAAATAAAAAGAGAGAAAAGGGGCCGGAGAGTATAGCAGGTAGGTTCAATCTCCAGCACCCCATGTGGTCATCTGAACACAGCTGGTGTGGTCCAAATACTAAAAAACTTTTTAAAAATAATTTTTAAAAAGACAGAAAGAAACAATATTACCTATCTTTTCTTTCTATTAAACTTCTAAAGTAATTGAATATTTCTATGGGTGTAACTTTGTCCAAATGACATGCTATCAAGAAAGAAGGAAAGGCAAGTTACTTTTTATATTAAAGGGTGTTAAAATAAGGTTAGGAAATGAAATTCTTCAGGAAGGGACTTATCTCGAAGGCCCAGTCTGATCTCAGCACATGGTGTAAGCCCCGGCGGGAGCAACCCTTGAAAACAACCAGGTGTGTCTCATCAAACATGTTCTGATAGACAAGACAGGACAGAACCAGGCGAGAAGATACATCAAGGATGCTTTGGGTGGTGAGTCTGTGAACTACTCAGTAGTTTCCTTTCCCTAGAAAGCTCTCTGGAGGGCAATTATTATTGAGAGTCCCCTTAAGGCACAAGGACAGGTTTTTGTAGGGTACAGTGCTATTTCATTTGAATGGGAAAAAACTTTATTTGATTATATATTTTTAAGCCCTTTACTGCCCCCCCATGATTAAAATAAATTACATTTAATGGTGCATTAAGAAGAGTTTTAGAAGGACTTAGAATTTTTACTGAAGAGGTTAAAAAAGCGAATAATATTTTGTTTTGGAGGTTTTTTCTTTCTTTTTTTTTTTTTGGCCACACCTGGTGGGGTTAGGGAACCAGGGATTGAACTCACCTACATCTAAGGCAAGTACCTCCCTACAGCATCACTCCAGGCTTGGAAGATATTTGTAATTCTTCATTTGAGTAATTCTAAATTTTCCCTTCACCATCAATTTTGATGGGGAAAGGACTAGAAAGAATGGCTTCTAGCTCCCACCAAAAAGGAGAGGGATGCATTAAGTGGTGTGTGTGTATGAGAGATAGGAGGTGAAACAGTTGAGTGTGCGCACGTGTGTGGAAAAACAGGCACTGCTGTTAAGAAACTGTCCGCAATGGGGCCAGAGCTAGAGTACAGAGGGTAGGGCATTTGCCTTCCATGGGTCCGACCCAGGTTTGACGCCCCCATGAACCCCACATGGTGCCACATAGCCCACAAGGAGTGATCCAGACTGTAACCTGTGTGATCCCCAAACAAACAAAAAACCTGTCCTTAATAGGCTGACTCCATTCTATTGCCAGAGAGAGAATGAGGAAAAAAGAATGGGAACACCGACATATCCTAATACTCAGGAACGACCAGATTCACCCTAGAAAAAATAAATGGAAAAAAGAATTTGCCATTATCCAGCAAAATATAACTGGCCAAAATCACTCTGGATGAATGTCCAACTAGGAGGAAAATAAATGAGCATGTGACAGCATCACCCCACACGTCCTTCACGGAGACACAGACCCGAATACCTCTGCCCTAAGCCTCATGTAGCAGCTCAGAAATGAACCATGTTTCTAGTTCTACTTAAATGTGTTCAGCCAATGAGTCTGGATCTAGAGTTAAAAATGTGATATGCTGAAAGAAAATTATTTTACTATAAAAAGCGTAGAATTTAGATAACCCACCAGTTTGTTTTACACTATGAAAATATAAATGTAGCAGAGTAATACAATTACCGGAGCCCCAAGAGGAAAAGAAATCTTTACTCCATCTCCTCACCTCTTACTGCATTAATCAGGGAGTACGGAAACCGTTGAAGAGAGTATGGCCAGGGCCGGAGCAATAGTTCGATGGGTAAGGTGCTTGCCTTACAGCAAACTTGGGTTCGATCCCTAGCCCCCCATATGATCCCCCAAGCCCTCCATAAGTAATACCTGAGCACAGAGCCAGGAGTAAGCCCTGAGTAGCATATGTGGCCCAAAAAAACAAACCAAACCAAACCAACCAACCAACCAACAAAAAACCCCAGCATGCTCTAAATGGGACACTAAAACCTCAAAAATAAAGAACTTTGATTTTGGTGCCAAGGTCAAATCCAGAGTGCCTCACACGTGTAAAGTTTGTGCTCTGCCACTGAGCTACATTCTTGACACACAGATGTTTTCTTGAGATAGAACTGCTGTAGGGAGAATTTTTTTGGTGGGGGCGTGGGTAGTTTGGACAACACCCAGTGGTGGGCAGAGGCTACTCTTGGCTCTGTGATTGAACACTGCTCCCTGTAGTGCTCAAGGGACCATGTGATACTGGGGATTGAACCAGGGTCAACCATATGAAAGGCAAGCACAACGGCTCCTAAACTCTCTGGCCTAAAAAAAATTGGGTGGAGTGGGGGGCGTCACTCCCAGCTGTACTTAGGGCTCACTGCTGGCACTGCGCTCAATGCCCACTCGTGGTGGGCTCAGGGGAGCAGGTAAGGGGCTGGCATCAAACCTGGCTGTGTGGCATGCAAAGCAAGCACCGTACCCACTCTACTATCTTCAGCTTCTAAAAGATTTAATTTTTAAAAATTAGTTAGAAAAAGAAAGCACAGTTAAAATATCAAATTTTGGTGACCTGGGTAGGTAAGTTTATTACAAATTTCAGGATCGAAAATGTAATTTGTTGTATTTAACTAAGATAAATATGAGGAGCTGGAGTGATAGCACAGCAGGAAGGGCATTTGCCTTGCACGCGGCCGACCCGGGTTCGATTCCCAGCATCCCATATGGTCCCCTGAGCATCGCCAGGTGTGACCCAAAAAGCAAAAAAAATAGATAAATATGACCTGAATTGTGTGTCCTGCATAAATGACTCATCCTCAGGCACTCAGGCATGAAAGGACACAGTCCCATTGCCTACAGGCATGGGATCTTCCAGAGGATGGAAAATCATGCTGATTTTCGTAGCTCACATTGATTGAACAAGAATTAGGAAAAGAAGGCTCCATTCTGGAACTCTTTCTGGAACTTCATTCTCAGCCAAACTAGAATCTTGAACATAGCCTACAGAAACTCAAAGTGCTTGAATTTCTTGAATTTCCTATTTTTTTTTACTTCAATATTTAGGTGTCTTTCTATATCTGAACTGTGATTCAACTGATTTATAAGCCAAAGTATGAAAATTCTTGCTACATGGCAAGAGATCACAGAGGAGTTGGCTGACCAGTGAACAAGACAGACCAGACAGTTTTACCCCAGCACAGGATACATACAGTGACCCTCCACCAACAGAAATGCTGGGGGGGCGGGGGGGGGGGGAATCACTGAAATCTCAGTTGTGTGGTCACAGAACAAGAGGCTTCGATTGGTCTGGAACAGACCTCAATTGGCCATCCAAGCCACTGCGCTTCGAGACAAATCTCTTCTTTAGCTAGTCACCAGGCTGTTCTCTCACAGGGAGGGAGGCCTGGGTCTCTTGTATTTGAAAGATTACTAAAGGCAGCCTCTTTACAAGGAGGGAGTAGGAGATCTGCCAGGGATCTGAAAGGTGCAAGCACCTCTCAGGGAGGGGTGGGGTGGGGTCTTAGAGGGAACCTGGGGTGCAGAGGAGAGTACGGTGGTAACCTGAGAGAGCTGAGACAGAAGGGAGAGCACCCTCACACTACAGGACCAACGATGAGGAAGAAAGGAAGAGCCCGAAGCCCAGCTACAGAACAGCATGTTTGTTCGTCAGGAAAGACATCCCCGGGGCGGGTCATTAGTGCCGAGCCCTCTTGCCTAGGAACTTCTATCCCAGATTCTTCTAAGTTAAACCCCAACCCTCTCAAGCTACGGTGCTCCACAGGGAACAATTTTATCCTCAGGGGATGTTTGGCAATGTTAGGAGACATTTCTGGCTGTCACAATTTGGGGGGGGATGGTGCTACTGGTATTCTGTGGGTAGAGGCCAGGGGTGTTGCTAAATGTCCTTCAGTGCACAGACCCGTTTCTTAAACTGCCAAGATGCCATTAATGCCAGGGCTGAAAAGCCCTGGCCTAGAGGGAACACTTTACTCATAAGATTCTAAATCGAGTATGAGCCATGGCCCTTGAAACCGACATCAGACAAAGGTGAACACCTTCCTTCTCAGTCCTTAACGGTGATCAAGCCACATCTTGGTTAGTGCAGTCTCCAATTACCGGAGTTCCACAAATGTTCAATGAGCTGCTGGCAGTTCACACTCAGGCAGTACCACCAAAACCCTGCATCCTTGTCTTCTCTCTTCTGAAGAATCTATTTCTTTCTCAGAGCCAGTGCGACCCCCACTGCCATTGCTAAGAAGGCAACGGCAGCAGCCCCTCCAAACAGCAGCACAGACTTCCCCTCAGAGAGCGGGATGACTTTCTCTTCCCCAGCTGGGGAGGGCCCTGCCCCAGAACTTTTTTCTACTAGAGTTACCTCGCCACTCAGCCCCGTTTTCGTGCGTTTCAGTACGGCTGTCCCCCCCGCCTCCAGTTCAATGGGTTCCGTTGTTGCTGCTTTCAACTCTTCTTCATCTAGCACTACAAACAAAGACGTAGGAGGGCTGACTTTCTCCACTGCAATGATTTCTGTGTCAGGTTCCCGTGTTTCCAGCAAGGAAGTGGCAGTGATATCCGGAAGCAAGGATGCTGGGGCTTCCGGAAATAAGTCTTCCGAAGTCAAAGCAGCCTCTTCCATCCCCTCGGGGATTTCTTCTTTCTCCACATGCACAATATCAGAATTGGAAGAGTTATTCTCACTCTTCTCTCCAGCCCCGTTGCTATCTAAGCTTTTGACTTCTTCAGGATCCATAGCAATCTGCTGCCAGGACTCCGGACCGAGGGACACAGGTAAGTTTTCTGTGTGCCAACTCTGACTTGCCGAGAGTGAAACAGGTAAGCTCTCTGACTGCCAAGATGTGGTCACAGTTGGAGACTCTGGAGGGCTGATTTGTCCAGAGTTGTCACTGGGAAGAATATAAATGTCATTGCTGTCTTCTACAATGATACCAGGGTATTCTTCCTCTGGTTCAAGATTAAACACAGTACCCTAGAAAAGAGGAATCAATACAAAGAACAGTAAGTATATTTAAAATAAATGTAAATGTCGGAGAAAAAAACTTTCTTAAACTGTAAGTTCCAGTGCTCACTTTGGCAGTATATATACTAAAATTGGAATGACACAGAGTAGATTAACATGACCCCTGCACAAGATGACATGAAAATTCATGAAGTGTTCCATACTTTTCATCCCCTTCTCATGGACTGGGAGGGTTAATATCATTAAATGGCAATACTCTCCGAAGCAGTGTATAGATACAATGCAGTCCCTATAAGGATACCCATGACATTTTTCAAAGAAAGAAAACACTCCTGAAATTAATATGGACCCCACCCCCAACCCAAACAGCTAAAGCAATCTGTGGGAAAAAGAAGATGGGAGGCATCTCTTTCCCCAATTTCAAACTGTACTACAAAGCAACAGTAATTGAAACAGTGTGGTTTTGCAATAAAGACAAACTCTCAGATCAGTGGAATAGAGTTGAATATCCTGAGACAGACCCTCAGGTATATGGCTAGTTAACGTTTTTTTCTTTTTGGGTCACACCCGGCTTTGCACATGGGTTACTCCTGGCTCATGTACTCAGGAATTACTCCTGGCATTGCTCAGGGGACCATATGGGATGCTGGGAATCGAACCTGGGTCGGCCGTGTGCAAGGCAAACGCCCTACCCACTGTACTGTCACTCCAGCCCCAATGACTAGTTAGTTAATCTTTAATAAATGAAGTGGAGTAAGGAAAGGTCCCTATCTCTTCAACAAGTGGTATTGAGAAAACTGGTCAGCTACAAGAAGGAAGGAAGGAAGGAAGGAAGGAAGGAAGGAAGGAAGGAAGGAAGGAAGGGAGGAAGGGAGGGAGGGAGGGAGGGAGGGAGGGAGGGAGGGAGGGAGGGAGGGAGGAAGGGGGAGGGAGGGAGGGAGGGAGAGAGAGAAAGGAAGGAAGGAAGGAAGGAAGGAAGGGAGGGAGGGAGGGAGGGAGGGAGGGAAATAAAAAAGAAAAGAAAGAAACTCAGACCTCTAAAGAACTGAGTTTGAACTCAGAACGAGCTCAGACCTCTAATGCTGAGCACAGAAGTAAAATCAAAATGGATTACAGACCTTGATATCAGACCTGAATCTATGAAGTACACAGAGGGGAATGTAGGCGGAACGCTCCATGACATTTTAGCGAAAGATATCTTCAAGGATGAAACACCACTGACCAAGTAAAGATAAAGAAATGGGACTACATTCAATTAAGAAGCTTCTGCACCTCACAGGAAATGCTGACCTTTCCATAATCTTTGCAGGATACAAAGACAGCCCACAGAATGAGAGGAATTATTTATCCAACACTCATCTGATATGGGAGCCAAGATACATAAGGCACTACCCACTTTAGTGCCTTTAGTAGAACTTTACAATAAAAAAAAAATCCGGCCCATCAAAAAAAATGAGAAGAGATGAGAACAGAAAATTCCTCAAAGAAAAATGGCCTATGAAAAAATGCTCTTTAAGTCATAACAATTAGATATCACACATAAAAAAATAACAAGAACAGAGCTGGAGCGATAGCACAGCGGGTAGGGCGTTTGCCTTGCACACAGCCAACATGGCCAATACAGGTTCGATTCCCAGCATCCCATATGGTCCCCCGAGCACGCCAGGAGTGATTCCTGAGTGCATGAGCCAGGAGTAACCCCTGAGAATCGCCGGGTGTGACCCAAAAAGCAAAAAAAAAAAAATAACAAGAACAGTGTATAGATACAATGGTTAGTGCTGGCATGGATGTAGAGAGAGGCTGGTGGGAATGTCAACTGGTCTGAGCATGGGTAAGCCGTGTGCTAGGCAAACACCCTACCCGCTGTACTATATCGCTCCGGCCCCAAGCCTGTGTTTTTTTAGTCTGTGTTTTTACTTTTAGTGTTTTTAGCCTGTGTTTCTTTTGCCATGCAGAAATTCTTTTATTTGCTATTGTCCATTTGTTTACTTTCTATTTTGCTGTCTTTGTAAAGGACATCATATCAGCCTTTGAGGTTGAACTCTTGGAGCATTTTGCCTCTATTTTCTCCAATGTACTTAGAGATTCTGGTCTGATCTCAAGGTCTCTGATTCACTTTCAAATGACTTTTGTGAGATATGAATGCAGCTTTAATTTTTTACACATTGTTTTCCATTTTTCTCAGAAGAAGCTGTCTTTATTCCAATGTTCTCATCTACTCTGACAAAATTTAACTAATCATAGACTTGTCCTTGGATGTTCAATTCTGAGAGCCTATCTAGTCCCATGCTGTTTTCAGTACTACAACTTTATAGTATAGTTTCAAGTTAGGTCATGAGACACATTCCAGTTTTTTATTTTCAGTACGGTTTTGGCTATTTGGTATCTCTTATAATTCCATACATATCTTATTACTGACTGTTCTAAGTCTTTTAAGAATGTTTGTGAATCTGAATGGGAACTTCATTGAGTCCTTAGTCCACTGAATTCCCTAAGGTCTTCCCTTTCTTAAGTAATTAAAGTCTTCATGGTACAGATCTCCAAAGTCTTTTGTTAAGATGATTGCTAGGTAACTGATATTTTTGGACACTACTTTGAATGGGATAGACTCTTTGATTGCTTTCTCCCTTAACTCAATATTTGCATATATGAATGTAACCAATTTATGTGTACTGACTTTGCAGCTAGCCACTTTGCTGTTATTATGTTTTTTTTATTTCTAGAAGCTTTTTTTGTGGACTCTTTAGGGTCTTCTATGTATCTGAAAATAGTGAGAATAATATGTCTTCTTCTTTTCCAATTTAGATACATTTGATTTCTTTTTCTTGCCTGATTGCTGTAGCTAGAATTTCTAATAACATACTAAATATAAGTGGAGACAGTGGACATCCTTGCCTTGTATCTGATCTCAGAGGGAATGCTTTCCATCTTTAATGGTACTGGAAGTGCTGAAAATATAGTACAGTGTATAGGGCATCTGCCTTGCATATGACTGACCCAAGTTCAAACAGTCCTCGTAGCACCGGTGTGTAATCTCTGAGCCAGGAGTACACCCTAAGCACAGATGGATTTCGAAGGAGGAGAGGAGGAGGATAGTACCTGTGGACTTGTTATAGACAGTCACTACTACTTTAAGGAAAGTTCCTTCCACCCCTATTTTGTTGAGGTTCCGTATCATGAATCTTGTTAAAAAACTTTCTGTGCAGAGACTCATTTGATCATATGATTTTTATCTTTCTTTTTATTGATGAACCCCATTGATTATATATACATATGGGCTTTGATTATATATATATATATAATGGGCTGGAGCGATAGCACAGCGGGTCGGGCGTTTGCCTTGCACGCAGCCAACATGGCCGACCCGAGTTCGATTCCTCCGCCCCTCTTGGAGAGCCTGGCAAGCTACCGAGAGTATCTTGCCCATACAGCAAAGCCTGGGAAGCTGCCCGTGACGTATTCGATATGCCAAACACAGTAACAAGTCTCACGATGGAAACATTACTGGGCCCGCTCGAGCAAATCGATGAACAACAGGAGGACAGTGATAGTGACAGTAATATGTATGTGTGTGTGTGTGTGTGTGTGTGTACACTTTTTTGATATTCTGTTGGATTCAGTGGACTAAGATTCTGTTAAAGATTTCTATCTTGTTGGGGTATGGTGCCACCAGCAGGTCAATTTGTACCTGTGAGGCGAGTATATCCGCAACCTGATGGTGCCTTCAGGATTCTGGATACCCCAAAATTGCTGCTGTGCCTTTGGCCAGACCCCAACAACTTGGGACCAAGTTTACCAAGAAAGTAAAGAGCCAAAAATTAGGTAAGTGGGAGACATACCCACAAACCACCTCAGCTATATAACTGGAGGCAAGGCCTCTCTGGTTCCTGATCAAACTGCTTAATGGCCATGATCCCAGGGACTCAGAAACAAATCTCGAAACCCAATGGCTTTTGGCAGAAATGTGTCTGGTCCCTGCAGTAGATTACTGGTGCCAAGCCACCCCAGGTGGGAATAGGTTTCATGCCTTGGCCTGTTCCCCCTGGCAGCCTGGTGGCCGCTATCCTTCAGAGGCCACTGGACAGTTAGGTTTGGGCCCGCAGTGATGAGATACGCGGGGCCTCACGGGATGGGGGTGGAACCGGCCATTTCCTCCCCATCACAACAAGACCTTGAGTCATTTCTCACACACAGCCTCTCTGGCTCCTGATCAAGCTGCTTAATGGCCATGATCCCAGAGACTCAGAAACAAATTTTGAAACCCAGCGGCTTTCGGCAGAAATGCATCCATACCCTGCAGTAGGTTATGGTCGCCGGGCCACCCAAGAGGGGAAAGGGTGCTGTCCCTCCATCTGCTCCCCCTTGGCGGCTCGGTGGCTGCCATCCGCCAGAGGCCATTGGACAGTCAGGTTTGGGTCCTCAGTGATGAGACACATGGGGCCTCAAGGGATGGGGGTGGAGCCGGCCCTTTCCTCCCCGTCCCATCGAGACCCTGAGTCGCCGCCCACAAATGGCCTTTCTGGCTCCTGATCAAACTGCTTAACGGCCATGATCCCAGAGACTCAGGAACAAATCTCGGAACCCAGCAGGTTTTGGCAGAAATACCTCCATGGTTTAAGGTAAAGGCCCTCCCGTTGATCGTCGATTTGCTCGAGCAGGCCCAGTAACGTCTCATTGGAGACTTTGTTGTTACTGTGTCTGGCATATCCAATACTCTCGGTAGCTTGCCGGGCTCTCCGAGAGGGGCGGAGGAATCGAACTCGGGTCGGCCATGTTGGCCGCTTGTAAGGCGAATGCCCTACCGCTGTGCTATTTTGGAATTTCAAAATTGCGTGGCCACTACTGCAGCCACGCGACACCATATGTTATTCTTAACCAGCAATAGAAAACAAATTGTCTACTGTTGCCTTTTCAGCAGATCTGAGTGTTGGGGTAAAATCCCAAATAATAATGTGGGCCTGGTGTCAAAATACTGAATGTAATCAAAGTAGAGAGAGAGTAATGTGGAGATCATCTGCCCCACAGGTAGTGAGAGGGTGTGGATGGGGTATACTGGGGCTTTTGGGGGTGGAGAACGGGCACTGGTGAAGGGACAGGTGTTTCATTGTATGACTGAGCCTTAAACCCGAAAGCTTTGTAGCTGGTCTCATGGTGATTCAATAAATAAAATTATATAAAAAATATGTTTAGGGGCTGGAGCAATAGCA